TATTTGTACAAGCCTTGATCACACACACACGCACACACACAAAATTTTAGAACACACTAACACAGGCTTAGTGTGTTGGTTAACTATAGAAATCCCCTATGTTAACCATTAGAATAGTAGTTAAAACTTAATTATAAAAACTCATTATTTCTGAATATTTGATCTTAATAGTCGACTAATTAGGATAGTAGTCGACTACTCATGTATATAACTCAAATACAAGTTTCTGTCTGTTTACAGTATAGTCGACTAATTAACATTATAGTCGACTACTGAAGAAAATGTCAGTTTTCAAGTTTCTGTCAAATTACAGTATAGTCGACTAATGATCATTATAGTCGACTACTGAGAACATTTTCCGAAAACACAGAGTCTGTCTGAACTCAGTGTAGTCGACTAATGACTACAGTAGTCGACTACAAGAGACAGTTTTTCAGTTTTCAGAATTTGAATATCTGACAGTTTTTGGCCGTTTTTAAACGTTTTCAAACTTTAAAAACTTGTCTTTTCAAGGGGTATATATAGGTTATTTGTTCAGAAAAATTGGAGAAATATACATACCCGGTCAGGTTTGCGTTTGATTTTGTAAGTTTATTCAAAATCATAGTGGAAACTCTCAAGCGGGATTTGCTTGGGGACTGGATGTACACCGGTTTGGTGGAACCAGTATAAAATCCTTGTGTTTGTGTTTGCAAATTTCTGAGGTTGCCATTTTTCTTTGCAATTTATTATCTACTTTGCAATAATTTTAAGAGAATACTATTCACCCCCCCCTCTAGTGTTCTAGTGTATCTATTTCAGATCCTACAGTTTTCTCTCCAAAACGAATTTATAGTGTTTGAACTCTATTTGTAGTGGTTTATTTAGAAAATTTATTCTTATTGTAGTGGAAATTAAACATTTGGGGCATATAATACTCAATTTTAGGGTTTAGGATTTGGGGGTTTACGATTGTAATTGAGTTTTAGGGTTGTAATTGGGGTTTAGGGTTGTAATTGGTAATATTTTTTTTAATTTTTTTTGCATTTAAATGATATAATTTTGTTTTACGTAGATTGAACAATATGATTTTTATTGCTTTCTCTTATGGTGGAACGATTAATTATGGAATGAATAATATGCCAATGTACTTTTATTTTACTTCATTATATTCTACTTCATTTATATCATCATATATGCAGATATGGAGGCGGGTCCATTGACGTATGAGGTCCTAGGTGTGTATTTACGATGGTATTGGGAGAGTACTCGCCGATAGATATTTCAGGAGAACAAAAGCCCCTAAGGAGTACATACCGAGAGGCCCAGTTGAGAAATAGTTGGTAAGTGTATAAACAAATATACAGTTATCTTGTGAGTTTTATTTTACTAGTTGAGATGCACGTGCAATGTACGTGGTTGAATATGATGATTATTTAAATTGATAAAAATTGAATAAAAATAAAAAAGAAAGCAAAGATTATTTAAATTGATAAAAATTGAATAAAAATAAAAAAGAAAGCAAAGTTTTTTGTGTGATTGATCATCAACTCAATAATCTCTCTCAAATTGAATAAAAATAAAAAAGAAAGCAAAGTTTTTTGTGTGATTGATCATCAACTCAATAATCTCTCTCAAATAAAATATTATCATTGTTTTCTTTAACTCAGACTGTGACCACTTGATCTACTATTTGTGAGTTATGAACACATTGATCTAGTACAACATCTCCATTTATTAGTATCTTAAAGTCTTCAAAAGATGGGAGATCATTCAATTCGCAAAGGAATTTTGCATACGAATTTACTTGCGATATGTCCATTAAACTTTTAGTTGTAGTTTAGCTCATATTCACGTTAACTTTTAGTTATGATATCACTCATATTTATATTATTTAATATTCATATTTAATTTTATAACTCATTCTCCTTATCATAGAAGTAAAAGTGAAAGTATAAATAATTATTTTCTTATAAAATTAGAGCTGTGAGATTATGATATATTTAGTCATGTGCTCTGAATATAATTTTTTTTCTTTGATGCAACATCTCTATCAAATCTTGCTCCAAACGATACGAATGAAAAATGCTATTATAATTCACTTGCCTAGGATAATTGTAGTGTATATAGGACATATAACTTATCTGAAATATCCACATCTGCTAAATGGATTTTACTCTTGTGAGAACAAAATGTTAGAGGCTCGTATTCAAACTTTTTGACTCTATAAAAGACACAAGAATTTAGATTGCATAACATATATATCGTAAAGCACATACTGGTTCACAAAGAATTTTTTTAAATAATGATATTATTACAATGTTATTACTATCAGTATTAAATCAATTTTATTATATAAGATTATATAACCATTTTTAATAAATTATAAAATATATATATGAAAACATCGATGTTTATAGCCAATAATTGGGCTCCACAAAATAGGTAAACTTTACATTGCAGTTTGCTATTAGTATTATTGTTGGCAATACCATTACTTTTTCTCTTCATCTTATTATTCACGCTTTTCTGATGTAAGTTTTCTTTTTCTAATCACTCAATTGGTTATATTTAGTTTTTACAATATCAGAGGTTAGAATATTCTCTTATGTTAAAAAGATGTTGACATGATTTTTTTAAAAAATATATACACATAATAGCAATAGTATATACTTCAATTCAACTCAAATATTAGTTTGAAACTATTTAGAGTGAGGTGATTTCTATGCTATAATTGTGATATAGTGATTACACAATTCAAAAGTCAAAGAAGAAATTTCTACAAAGGAAAAATAGTTTAATATGTCAAAGTAACAACTAATTAATAAAATATACATGGGCAATGAATATAGCTATAGAAAGTAAGGTATATATATTCATAGAAATTCCATAGCGAGTGACCAACTACAATCATCCTAATTTAAGCATAAACAATTATTATTATAATTACTAATTTGATACGCATAACTATCGAACAAATCTAAAGCAAAAATAGGAATTGAGATTGTATTGTCCTCTAGGTAAATAAATAAATGTTATTAGAGCTCCACTTTATATTAAATTTAGAAGTAATAATTTAAATTATTAAGCGTCTAATATTAGTTCATGTGAGAAAGTAAAGTAATCTATGATCTATATACCTATATAGTCAATCAATCAAACATATTAAAATTATATGGTAGATTCACATTAAATATAATTTATAAAAAATAGTACATTAAAATTAAAATCCTTTTAGCCACTATATAGATTGTCCACATTAAATATAATTTATAAAAAATAGTACATTAAAATTAAAATCCTTTTAGCCACTATATAGATTGTCTGAATTTTTTTGTATATATAACTTTACTGCCTAGGAATAGTGATGTGCACACTTAACTATGACATAATACATCTTAAGAATGACTTACTCATTAATATCATCATTAATTAACGTATCTATGCATTACATTGAAAACACAATGAAAATTCGAATCAAAAGTTCTAAAAATTATAAAAAGCACCCGAAAATTTTGTAATTTATAAATACAAAAAACTATTAAATATTATATTGAAATCAAAGAATTATAAAAAATATTAAAATATTTTAAAACTTTAAGGGGTAATTTGAAATATACTAAACTTTAAGGGTTTTTTATAAATTTCAAATTTAATAGATTTTTAATTAGTTATGTTCTTTTCAAAAAAAGTTATAGGTAATATTGATCATGAAATTTTTTTCTTAAACCTATACTTTTAAAGGGAGCATGACATTTTTTGTAAATTTTTAATTTTCTAGAGATTGTTAATAATTCGGTATATTCATTTTAGTGTCTATAAGTTAGAAATTCTAACGGTGTTTTTTGTAAATTATGAATTTTAGGGGTTTTTTTGCAATGTTTTTAACTTATAGGTATTTTCTATAGATTATAAATTGTTTATAGAATATTTATAATTCATATGTTTTCAATTTACTAATGAGTTAGAAATTCTCAAGCTGTTCTTTATAAATTTTGAATTTTGAATTACGAGTGTTCGTTTGTAATTTTTGAAACTTTAGAGATTTTTTCTATAAAAATAAATTATGTAGGGGATATTTGTAGTTTTCTACAAACTAAAATAAGTAAAGGATTTGAATTATATCAAATGTATCTCCTTTATCCAATAACATGTTAAGTCACATTATGAATATGATAAAATATTTAATTATCAATTTAAAAAAGATAGGATAATTAGAATAGATTAGGATAACAATATAATATTTAAAAAAGTTAAGGGTAATATTGGTCATGAAAAGATTTTCCCGAACTCGTACTTTTAAAGGGAGTATGATTATCATCCAAATCATAATAATTTTCTTGGGGTTTTTATCTTATAGGTACAAGAGCTCGAAGAACTTTCTACTATGGCGCATGATGCAATCCGAACGACTACCAAGTCAGGACCGAGGAACACGCTCATTCGTATGATCAAAAAGATTCGGTCCGCTCTTCAGAGGACGCGTAATGCAAGACGTGATGGATGTGAGGAGCGACCAATTGAGTACGATCGTCGACGGTTCCGAGGACACAAGGGGGCAAACTCAAGCGGTGCACATGATGAAGCTGGCGGCTCACAGTAGGCCCAAGCCGGATGTTCACAGTCGGTTCGAGTCGATGAGGATGCCATGCACTCCCAACTTCACACACAACCGGACGAGGAACTCATCCGAGCTCACGTCGAAGGTGAACGTGTTAGGGGGAGGGGTAGAGGGAGAGGAAGAGGAAAGAGAGTTGTATCCGATTGAAACTGAATATTATGTATTTGATTGAGTATTGATAGGATGTTTGCGTTTGAAACTAAATATTATGTATTCGATTGAGTATTGATTATTAGTATGTGAATTGCATGGTATGTATCCTATCGATTTATGAATTTTTATTTAAGATTATTGATTGGTATGTGTTATTGTGATTGCATTGTGGATTGATTGTGGATTGATATGTAACAACAGAAGTTTGAATTTCCAGTTGAAAGTGGGTGTAAGTAGAGTCTGCCAAATGGTCGGGGTTGGGAACCCCGACCATTTTGTGCATGTACACGAGACAGTCGGGGGTTCCCTCCCCTTCCCGTTGTGTTATTAACAGTGTTCGGTGAGTTTTATGTGTGGTCCGTTGTTGAGTCTATGTAGCCGCAGAATGTTAGCAAGTACAAAGCGGGCCCCACACCCCAGTCCGCAGCAAACCTACACATGAAATTCAAAGTATTAAGAAAAGAAGGCGGAAAAGATCGCGAACCAAGTCGGCTTGCACCCAAAGCCGTGGTAGGGACGACACAGCCATCCCCAGAAGAGTTTCCCATTAAAATTCTTTACTTCTCCCCAGAGATCCCAAAAGCGCAAAGCACTAAAAAGCAAAAGTTTTCTCTCCCCAAAAAAGCGAAAGCCCCCCGCGCCCACCCCCCCCCCCCCCCCCACCATCCCCAATCTCCAAAACCCTTAACACCCTTCTCCTCTTTCTGATTACATGCAAACCCTGCGGCCTTCTTCTCCCTAAGAAATAACGAGCATCAAGGAGAGGAAATGGCGAGCACCAGCGCCCGCAAGCGCGTGGCGCGACTCGTTGACGGCTGTCGTGCGCCAGGGTACGATTTCGAGAAAGATGACGCCAGGCATGCCACACCATTGTCGACGCCGCGAGGAGCCCACCGCTGATAAGCGCAGCTTCGTTGCCGTCGTCGTTGGCTGCGATTGCCCCCATACTTCGAGTTGCTAACGAGATCGAGCAGCTCAATCCTCGAGTTGCTTATTTGTGTGAGAACACCTACTCTTCTACTTGTGATTAATGGTGAAAAGATTTGAACTTTGATGCTTATTGGTAAATTGGATGCAATTCGGAGCCCATGTATCTTGTTTCCTTCTGGTAAAGTTTAGGGATAAGCTGCAAGTACAGTTTCTTCCAAACAGACAATAAACGGCAATCACAAAAATGTGGTAGAAGGATAATAAAAGTAGAAAGGACCAGGAAGAAGGAAATTTAAAACAGTGTTAAGAAAGACAATCTACCCAACCGAGTACTCCCACCAGACGCCAAATCGCGTTGGATTGCTGAAACCCGCTGGATTATGCGGTCGAACTGCAAAATCTCGAGCGGTTAAATAGTATGCTTAATTACTCTAAAGCACTTAATTATGTGGGCACCGAACCGACGACGCTTAATTACCCTAAAGTATTCCAATCACTGCCTCAAAAGATCCCAAAATTATATGCTGCTTCAAAACCGTCAACCTAGTCACCTCCCCCATCCTTCTCTCCACTTCCACTAGTTGACACTGATCACTGCCTCCGACTGCTGCCAAGTGTAGGCTCTGATCGGCGCTGTTTCCAGCCGGTCCCGCCTGCAATTGCTGTCAGGATGTCGAGGAAGATTAGATGATGAGTTTTTTTAGTATTTTAAAGTGTTATGACTTATGAGAGCGTTTTTAGTTTATGAACTTTTGTAGTTTTACTTTTTAAGTGTATATGGTCTGCAATTTGAATAGCTTGATGTATTACTGTTAGTGTTTTGCTTATAATGGTTTTTATTTTTCATGAATTATTATATTTTTATGGATGATAAATAATATATGGAATAATGAGTATGAGGTGGCAGAGCATTTATCAAAATAAGCTATCAAGAGATATACTAGTAGTGAGGCCCATCCAAACGTCACACCAAAGGTGTGGGTCTCACACACTCTATCTCTTAGTAGTTCATTTTGCACATAGATATAGATTCATAACACTTAACATGGAATTATGACTTATGTTTTTTCATTCTCTATGTAATCCCTTTCTTTTTGTTATTAAAATTTTAGTCATGCAAGTTACATGAAGAAAGTCCTCTCTGTATAAGCGTTAAAATTTTATTTTGTAACATGCATTTGTAATTGTTTTCTTTTTCATGCTTGAAGTTGTAGAAGACCAAACTGCTATGAAGATAATGAAAATCAATCTTCTGATATGTGGAGTGGCTTGTCAATTGTCTTCCTTCAATATTAATGCACACAGCAAACAACATGATATGAGAACATATCTTTTATGAGATTCTGGACTAATCATGAATCTTTTAAAACTGACAATGTTTATTTCCATAACTCAACTGTTGGTGATAATGAAATGTGAGAGTTTGTTGACTCAGGCCAGTATCTTCTTAGATGTCTTGTTCCTAAAGTATTAGCTGGCATAAAAGTACTTTCTATACAATATTAAAAAAAAAGAGATCTTTGGAGACAAAAGCAAACGAGTTATCCTTAATCAGGTATGGTAAAAGCATGATAAATTTGGTCAAGATATTAACCTCATACTACAGGTGACACAACCTGGTTTATAATTTGAGAGGAATTTTGAAGAGCTTTGAGAACTAAGCAGTAGATTTTTAGAACTTAGCAAAACATACAGTTACGCGTTTCATCCCATTTAGCCGCTGCAACAAAGCTACTTGGTTTTTAGGAAATAAAATACTTACAAGAAACCATTTGTACTCTATTGTTCTTTGGATGGTTCATGATTTCTTTATCATCTAAATAAATAATGTTTTCTCGTCCTCTTTGTAGTAGTATAACTTGTATCATTATTGCTTGACACCTGTTTACCTTCTGGCTGTTTCTACTATTTAGATATTGGTAGACTGTGAAGCTGATACTTGGTATATAAAATAGCATCACTGTCTTGGCTCAAAAAGTTTACATCAGAAATTTATGTTTATATGGTTTTCACATTTTCTGTGTTTTCTGTTAGGCCGATTTCATGCATTTGAGAAGGCCCACAACTTGGATCCTACATCAAGTGGGCGCGGTGTACGGCAATTCAAAACATACCTCTTACATAAACTTGAAAAGGTTTGCGTGGCAAATGTCTCTCAAGAATATCCTCTGTTTAAGTATTAGAATGGAAATCTTACTTAAAAGTTTGCAGGGTCATGTCATGCTACTAAGTTCTTGATGTAGATCTAGGGTTACATCACGGGATGTGGAGGCATTGGGGTGGACTTGGGACATTTTCTTTATGAGAAAGTAAGGGGATTTAGGATACAATTCACTGCCGTGCCGAACTGCCAAAGCAGTACTATAGGATGCGCACACATAAACACACTAAAGAGTGTGTAAAAGATCCTATCAACAGGATTTAAGCTTGAATCTATACCTGAAAAGTATTGGTCTTCAATTCAAATGGAAGATCTGTACCATTAAATATGATCCAAATCATTAACATTGTTAAAACAAAATATCATTGGTTTCTGTTATCTCTTTCATGTGATCTTAAAATGGATAACCACAAATTGCTTTGATATATGTTCTAGAAGTTGTAAGCTGTCTTTATTTAATGTAGAAACTATTTATGTTAGCATAAATTGCTTGAATTCATAATCTGAAATTCCAAACATTATTTTTAATCAACATGCTTACTCAAGCTGTTAGGTTTGCTAGCAGTTGATCCATGAGTGGAAATCGTCAAAATCCTATGTTTTTTTAAATCTGTTTTAGGCCATTTAGGCAGTACAGGTCGTGTACAAATGAGTGGATTTTGAATTTGTTGCTTTAACACATGTTTTGTTCATTGAAAAAAAATAAATAAAAATCAGTTTGATAGGATCCAACGTCAATTTCTAATGGTAGGATTCTCTCTCTCTACACACACACATGCACCTATAAGTTAGGTTCTACATAGTCAGGATGGTTATTTGGTAGGTCTTATATTTTCATGTCATTTAAATAGCCCCACAGAAATATTCAGTTATATATTACAGCCTAGGTAGCACGGACAAGGGTGCGGAGACGGACACAGACACGGGGCATGACAAATTTGTAAAACGTAGGATACGGGGATACGGCTATTTGCGTGTGTGTAAAATTTACGTTAGATGAGGATATTGAATTAAAATACATATAATATTTGTATCTTTCTTTCTATTATCTAACAATTAATAATTAGGTTAAATAATACTAAGAATAAGGGTTAACAACAAAAGTTTTAATCATATAGGGTAATACAATGGGTAATTTTCAAATATTTAAGTAATGGGTGTTAGTTTCCAGGTTCAAAAGACTGATTGGTTTTGAAGCAAATATTACCAAAGATACTAGTTTAGGTAGAAGTAATGGGGAAATCAGATTTTGCTTTGAACCACACATGTCCATGGTGTGTCTGTGGAGCATCCGTGTTTGACTTGGGCACAACACCCAAAACACCATGTCCGAGTACCCTAGATTACATCGCTTAATATAATTATATTACTCTCAGCCACCTCACTTCTCTTTTTCTTATTCTCAATCCAAAACCCCAATACTGTGACTGAGAATATAGGTTTCTTTCCATTTTTGGCTGGCAGGATGAAGTGGAAACAAAACCACAGCTTGCAAAAAATGATCCTAAAGAAATACAGAAATTCTACCAGTGGTACTACGAAAATTATGTCAAAGAAGGCCCCACCAAACGGAAACCGTAAGACTAGACAATAGTTCATTGATGAATCAATGTTGCTTTTCTTTTTTGAACTTTATAAATTATATCAAGCAAACTTTATCTCTTAATTGCTTCTTATTCACCCTTAATCCTGTAATTTACAGTGAAGAGATTGCAAAGCATTATCAGACAGCATCAGTGCTATATGATGTGCTGAAAACTGTGGTACCCTCTGACAAAGTTGATGCGGAGGTTTGTGTTTTATGATGTGATATTTTATAGTGGAAATATTCTCATGTGTCTGCCTCACGATGACAGTTATTTAACACAGTGTATGTTTCATGATATATTTGCAGATAAGTAGATATGCTAGAGAAGTTGAGAGAAAGAAAGTTCACTTTGGCCATTATAATATTCTTCCTCTTCATTTTTCTGGTGCTGCTCCAGCAATTATGGAACTTTCGGAGGTCAGCTACATCCAGACCTTGCTTTGTCTATTTTATTCTGGCTAGATTGCTATGATTTTTTCCTTTTCTTCTATTTTCAATGGTCCTGGATAATGCATAACGCAGATCAAAGCAGCTGTCACTGCTTTATGTAATGTGGAGAATCTCCCAATGCCCAGAGTTCACCAAGCGGCAAGTGCACGACCAAATAGCGATGGATCTTTGATTTCCTCGGATGAGGATAAGCCGGTCCATGATTTGCTTGACTGGCTTTGGTTGACATTTGGATTTCAGGCAAGTTCTTTTCTTTATTATTCTAAATCTGTTCAATAAACCCCATGCATGTGTCTATATAGTTTCTAGATCATTTGTTTATTTTCGACACGTTGTATAGTATTTGTTTTTCTTCTGGAAAACAAAACCGTTGTCATGTAGAAACTAAATTGACAGATCTTCTTTAATTTTTAACTGAAGAAAGGGAATGTGGAGAATCAAAGGGAACACTTGATTTTGTTACTCGCCAACATGGACATAAGAAATAAGGCCGAAGATCGCTATGCCCTGGTACTGTAATCCATCTCCTAGAGAGGCATCTTCTATTTTCCTTTAGTACACATATATTAAATATTCATATCTTTCTTTTCATTGTAAAACCGAGGAGATTTGATATTGTATATGTTATTGCAGTTGGACAATTATACTGTGGAGCAACTCTTGGACAAAGTTTTTAAAAACTACAGTTCATGGTGTCACTATTTGCACTGTGACTCTAGTCTTAAGTAAGTCATATAGGCCATATTTTCCTGTTGCTAACATATTTGAATGAATTGTTATAAGAGAGATTTCATTTTAGCGATCATTTTGTTATCTTCATTGCAGGTTCCCAAATAATGCTGAGAAACAACAGTTGCAAATTCTTTATATTGGACTGTATCTCCTTATCTGGGGGGAAGCTTCGAATATTCGTTTTATGCCTGAATGCCTTTGTTACATCTTCCATTGTGTAGGTAACTTTGACCTGTTGAGTTTGTCCTTATGTTTGTCAAGCATTACTAATTTATTTCTATTTTGTCCATAAGATGCTTCAGTACAGATTCCTTTTCTATTTTGCTGTAAATCTCACCATTTTATAATCCTTGTATACTCAACACTAATTGCATGGAAACTGTGACATAAATGTTAAAGGCTCCTTGTCACTAACATGTTGGTTTCCTCCAATTCTTCTCATTCTGCCTGCTATAGGTGAAGAAGGGATATGAATTGCTGGAATAGCTTTGGTGTTTCATTCATGTGATTATGGATAGATATAAGTTATTGATGGATGCTATGTAAGAAAGAAAGAAAATGTAAAAACATATATAATAACATTTGAGGATGTTGGAAAAGTCACGGTTGTTATACCCAACTATTTTTCCTCTTTTGGATCTTCTTTATTCATTCTAATCTAGTCAATATCATGTGTCTCTGTGCCCAACTCTTAGTAGATCATAACCACTTTACATGAAGATGATGATTGCTATGATACCATATTAAACACATGACAATATAACTGTAAAAGGAAAGAGAAATAGGAGAAAAGAGGAAGGAGCAGAAGGTGGAAAATGGAAAAGAATAGCACTGAGATAAGTTGGGAAGCAATTGCGAACAATCAGCTTTTTGTACTGTATATTATTATTACTTAATATGACTAAAACCACCTTAATCTTGTAGATCAAGATAAACAACTCACTTCAATTTGAACGTACCATCATTGGAGTTGAATGGGAAGATTTTCTTCCAGGAGGAGGAAAGGGAGAATCCTTGCTCTCTCTCGCAAGCACACACAGATCACAGTCCACACGTGGTGTATGGTTTATTATTCCCTTTGATGAAACTTAAATTATTCCACTCAGTAAGGGCTTGTTTGAATTTGGAGCGAGTGAAGGGAAGTTAAGGGAACCTAGGAGAAGTTAAGGGAAGGTAAGATAACATGTAAAACTTGTTTGGGAAATTAGTAAGGGAAATTAAGGGGAACTTATTTCACCCCGTTTGGGAAGCACAGTCCATGCGTGGTGTATGGTTTATTATTCCCTTTGATGAAACTTAAATTATTCCACTCAGTAAGGGCTTGTTTGAATTTGGAGCGAGTGAAGGGAAGTTAAGGGAACCTAGGAGAAGTTAAGGACTTAAGGGAAGGTAGGATAACATGTAAAACTTGTTTGGGAAATTAGTAAGAGAAATTAAGGGGAACTTATTTCACCCCGTTTGGGAAGTGTAATAAAATAGAGGAAGGAAAGGGAATATATAAAATGACATAAATACCCTTACATGTTATTAAGTTATGTTCTTAATATGGGGTAATTTGGTCTCTCTACAATTGCTTTGCTCTCCTCCTTTACCTTCGCCCAATTTGGGGGAAAGAGGAAATAAGTTCTTCTCTCCTCCTTTACCTTCCCTTCTCCCCCATTACCTGGCCCAAATTGATTCCCAAACAAGGTTAAAGCCTACCATAACTTTTCCTACCCCTCATTACCCTCAATCCAAACACACTTAAGTTGTATGGTGGACATCTCAATGTGTAATTCGCACTGTTTATCTTGATATACACATCATAGGATGATAGGCATGGGATATTGTTCGTTCTTTTTATTATAAATAAACCCAGTTTCTTTCCCCACCAAACTATATGGCAGTCAACCTCATGAAGAATCCACTATTCATCTTGAGCTATGCACCCTAGCAGGATATCAAATTGACGAATGTATGTTTTGAAACCCTTCAGTCTTGCATCAAATAGTCCCTTGTGTTTGATTGCTGAAAACCATCATAGCACAACCATTGGATGAATGAGTTTGAAACCTTCAAACTGTACAAATTTCTATGCATATCCATTTCATGATGTACTGATCAAGAGGAACTGTTACACAGATAAAGATGAACTGTTCAAACCATCCATGGAGTGTCCATCGTGTGGTTGCTAGATAGAAGAACTATTTGAGTCATTTTTCTTGGAAAGAATAAAGTTTTGTCTATACACGCACAAATACATATCTAGATCTAGAATTCTAGATATTATGTAATGTGCATACAGGCATAAGCAGACAGGCTTCTCCTTATGCTGTCAAAATAAGTTTTTTATTTGTTTTAGCACTTGATAGATGATTTCAAATTCCTTATTATTTTAACACTGCATCAAAATTAAATCTATAAGATGGCAAAAGAGCTGCATGGAATTATATTTGCCAATGTACATTCCGCTAGTGGAGGATATTTTGAACCAGCATATCAAGGGGAAGAATCATTTTTGCGAGATGTTGTGACTCCTATCTATCAGGTCTTGCGGAAGGTATTCGTTTTGGTCGAAAGAATCCTTACTTATCTGCTCTTAATGTCCTTGTTTCTTATTACTGTCTGATCCTTTTCATTCTTTTACAACAGGAAGTCCAAAGAAACAAAATGGGCACTTCTAGTCATTCCAAATGGAGAAATTATGATGATCTAAATGAATACTTCTGGTGAGTGTTTCCTTTTGTATTTAAAAATTTTCATTGGTATTTTCTATCATAAAGCATGTCGTCTTTTGCAGGTCAAGGGATTGCTTCAAAATAGGATGGCCTATGGACCTCAAAGCAGACTTTTTCATTCATACGGAGGAGATACACCCTAAAAAAGAAGTCAGTTCTCTTCTCTAACCCGCAATAGAATAATGGTAATTTTAGTAGTCATACCTATTAATAGCTCATAAGTCATATCCAAGAGTGAAGTATCCATTTAATCTTATGAGTAGATTCTCTTGGTTTCAATTAATAACTTCAGTGCAAGTTAGGATCTTGTTGCCGAAATTCGACTCAAACAGTTAGTATTAGAAGACACAGAGAGCATGGTCTTTCAGGGTGAGATGAAGAAAATTTTAGAGATCATCTTATTCATCTGACCAATTACAAATGTACGACATGTTTTGCTTATTGAACATCAAATTATCCCTGGAGTCGTAGCTATACATAAGAATATGAAAATATTGTTCTCCTCCATTCTTTTTGGTTGTATGAGTCTTTTATATTAATAATTACATATAACTATGCACTTTGTCCTTAATATCATACAAATTATCTGCAGCACCATGTATATTAATAATTACATATAACTAGCACTTTGTCCTTAATATCATACAAATTATCTGCAGCACCATGACCAACTTAGTAATGGACGAGTTAGTAGCGGGCGGAGGAAGCCCAAAACAAATTTTGTTGAAGTACGCACCTTTTGGCATCTATTTAGAAGTTTTGACCGCATGTGGACATTCTTCACATTGGCTTTTCAGGTACTTCGCTTATCTTGTAGTTTGTATCTTGCCTCAAGTTTGTATATTGTACACTGCTTAACATACCTTTTATTATTTCAGGCCATGCTAATTGTTGCATGGAGTCCATCAGGATCTATTACAGCTATCTTTAATCCGGATGTTTTTAGAAGTGTTTTGAGTATCTTCATAACTGCTGCGTTACTCAATTTCCTTCAAGGTACTGTCTTGGGATCAACTAGATCTTTTCATATTCAGGAAACATGTCCAGTCGTGCTCTTTGACTTTATCTTTGTCTTGCAGTAACTCAAATTGAGTTTAAGTCCCTATCAAATACATATCATCTTGTCCTTCTTTTGCTTTGTTTCTTGGTCTAGGAATGTTTTGGAGTTTTCTCCTGGGCTGCATTAGTTTAAAATGCACAACCACAAGGTAGGTTCCTATATTTGTTAAATTGCCTTAAATTTTGTGCCAATCCCCTTTCATTGTCCACAGTTTCCTTTCACCATTAATTTGGCACCAGTTTAGAGGTTGGCGTCATGTTGGTAGCTGGATGTCAAAGTTTGTTACAAACTTTATGGAGCCCTATGCTCCATAGCAGACCCCATTTTGATGGGGGAATGGCTTACAGGTTGATGCATTGATGATCATTAAGATAAACCGTCTTCTATGTATTATAATTTTTGTATCAGATATGCTGTATGCAATTAACTGCTTCTTTAAATTCTTTCAATTTTCATAATGTCATTTTGATTTGGCAGCCACTTTAGATATCATTCTTAGTTGGAAGTCTTGGGGAAGCATGCGATACACCCAGATTATTCGGTATCTTCTGAAATTTGCTGTAGCAGCTGCATGGCTGGTAGTGCTGCCTTTAATTTTGCTATTGCCATTTACATAATACCGAACATTCTGGCTGCCTTGCTGTTTATGGTTCCACCACTTCGGAGGACCCTGGAGCGTTCTAATAATCGTTTAATCACTCTTCTGATGTGGTGGTCACAGGTAATGATCTTTTTTTATTTAGATCTCTAACATACATTATTGGCTATTCAATTCCAGTATTTCTTATATGGCGCTGTTTTATACTATTACAGCCCAAGTTATATGTAGGAAGAGGCATGCATGAGGACATGTTCTCACTTCTCAAGTAAGATATTACGATATATGCTATTTCCTATTGTCACTCTACTGGGTAAAATTATTTTTGTATTTATAATTCTATTGTCTTAACAGATATACTCTATTCTGGATTCTGTTACTCATCAGCAAGCTTTCATTCAGTTACTATGTTGAGGTGATTACATCACTCGTCTTTTTTGATTGATATGTTTCTCAACAAACACACTGTACAGTATACAATAGAATTATATGTCGCTATCTAGGTGAATATTCCTATTTAATAGAGATAGCTTCCAATGAAATTATTTAGCTACCTTTTGCTGTACTGATACGTCCTACATTGCATGGGTATGGGTACAGGAAGTGGACCAGGAAAATTTGCCAAAGGTAGGGTATAGAGACATGGCGATATATATGCATGTCATGTATATTTTGATGTATTAAATTAATAATTTACCTAAGATCAATATTAATTTTTTCATTTGCTTAAGATTAATATATGAGAAATAGATGTGAAATATAGAATATACATCCAAGAAGTGTATGAGGAGTGTTTTAAGTTAAAAAAACATGTATTGTATAATTGAGTATAAGCTCAAATAAACATATGCAATCAAGAAGTGTCCAAGAGGTTTAGGTATTGGTGCTAGTACGTGTCCAGTACATGTACGACTTCCTAATAAAAGTACTCAGGTAACATAGAAGACATCCAAAGCTCGAAACTGTAGATTGATACCCATCATTTATTTCATTTAGACCAACAGCGGAATGGATGACAGGTCAGAACCATTTTTAATCGAATTACCTGACCTTATTATTGGGATTGTGTTTTTGATTCTTTCTTTAACTTCATGAGAGTTAGATAGGATTAGAGGTCTATCATGATTAGGAGATTGGATCTCATCATGCTAAATAGTTTGTATCCTATTATACGTAGGACGTTAGGCTAGGGATATGGTTTTGATTTGCCTATATATAGTCTTCTATTACTGGAGGAAAACCAATGTGAGAAGAAGGAAAGAGCCGCTATTCTTGTAAAGGTAGCAGAGGGTGTAAACTGGATTTAAAAATAGTGTGTGAAAGGAGAGAGTTTCGCAATCTTTGTCCTTGCAAAAAATTGTAAGGTTGAGAGAGGGTTTCACAGTATTCTTCCATCCAAAAGATTGTGAGAAGAGAGCTTTGGAGAAAACATGAGAGATTAATTATGTATGTGAGGTTGAGAGATTGAAAGACGAGAGTTGAGTGATATCTCTTGTAGTTGTCCCTAATACATACTGGATTTTCTCGTATTGTGCCCATTGAAGTAAGCCGAATTTGGTCGAACCACGTTAAAGCTTGGTGTTCATTTTATTGATTGTGAGTGTTTTCTATCTTGTGATTGTGGTTAGTTTCCGGGTTGCGGAGATCATAGTAGGGAGGACTAAAATCCCCAACACTTACTTACACCAAATGTTTATCGCCAATAGGCTACTCCAGCACTGTCCAGAATCCTACTGGACTTGTTAAATTCTTCAGTACGTGGGCTAGCAATTGGCGGAGCCAGTCATTCTTTAATTTTGCTATTGCCATTTACATAATACCGAACATTCTGGCTGCCTTGCTGTTTATGGTTCCACCACTTCGGAGGACCCTGGAGCGTTCTAATAATCGTTTAATCACTCTTCTGATGTGGTGGTCACAGGTAATGATCTTTTTTTATTTAGATCTCTAACATACATTATTGGCTATTCAATTCCAGTATTTCTTATATGGCGCTGTTTTATACTATTACAGCCCAAGTTATATGTAGGAAGAGGCATGCATGAGGACATGTTCTCACTTCTCAAGTAAGATATTACGATATATGCTATTTCCTATTGTCACTCTACTGGGTAAAATTATTTTTGTATTTATAATTCTATTGTCTTAACAGATATACTCTATTCTGGATTCTGTTACTCATCAGCAAGCTTTCATTCAGTTACTATGTTGAGGTGATTACATCACTCGTCTTTTTTGATTGATATGTTTCTCAACAAACACACTGTACAGTATACAATAGAATTATATGTCGCTATCTAGGTGAATATTCCTATTTAATAGAGATAGCTTCCAATGAAATTATTTAGCTACCTTTTGCTGTACTGATACGTCCTACATTGCATGGGTATGGGTACAGGAAGTGGACCAGGAAAATTTGCCAAAGGTAGGGTATAGAGACATGGCGATATATATGCATGTCATGTATATTTTGATGTATTAAATTAATAATTTACCTAAGATCAATATTAATTTTTTCATTTGCTTAAGATTAATATATGAGAAATAGATGTGAAATATAGAATATACATCCAAGAAGTGTATGAGGAGTGTTTTAAGTTAAAAAAACATGTATTGTATAATTGAGTATAAGCTCAAATAAACATATGCAATCAAGAAGTGTCCAAGAGGTTTAGGTATTGGTGCTAGTACGTGTCCAGTACATGTACGACTTCCTAATAAAAGTACTCAGGTAACATAGAAGACATCCAAAGCTCGAAACTGTAGATTGATACCCATCATTTATTTCATTTAGACCAACAGCGGAATGGATGACAGGTCAGAACCATTTTTAATCGAATTACCTGACCTTATTATTGGGATTGTGTTTTTGATTCTTTCTTTAACTTCATGAGAGTTAGATAGGATTAGAGGTCTATCATGATTAGGAGATTGGATCTCATCATGCTAAATAGTTTGTATCCTATTATACGTAGGACGTTAGGCTAGGGATATGGTTTTGATTTGCCTATATATAGTCTTCTATTACTGGAGGAAAACCAATGTGAGAAGAAGGAAAGAGCCGCTATTCTTGTAAAGGTAGCAGAGGGTGTAAACTGGATTTAAAAATAGTGTGTGAAAGGAGAGAGTTTCGCAATCTTTGTCCTTGCAAAAAATTGTAAGGTTGAGAGAGGGTTTCACAGTATTCTTCCATCCAAAAGATTGTGAGAAGAGAGCTTTGGAGAAAACATGAGAGATTAATTATGTATGTGAGGTTGAGAGATTGAAAGACGAGAGTTGAGTGATATCTCTTGTAGTTGTCCCTAATACATACTGGATTTTCTCGTATTGTGCCCATTGAAGTAAGCCGAATTTGGTCGAACCACGTTAAAGCTTGGTGTTCATTTTATTGATTGTGAGTGTTTTCTATCTTGTGATTGTGGTTAGTTTCCGGGTTGCGGAGATCATAGTAGGGAGGACTAAAATCCCCAACACTTACTTACACCAAATGTTTATCCACTACTAGGTAATAGAGATACCTTTGAGTGAAGTGGCTTAGCTATTCTATTCTGGCTGTACTCGTCCTTTGAAACTTGAAGTGCTCACACGTCATACATTTCAATGTTGGTCACACAAGTTGGACGAATAATATGTGAAAACCTTTCTTAGTTAATTTATATGACATAATAAAAAAGACCTTTGCTGCTGGGCCTGACTCGATGGATTGTTAGAAGCCCAGGTTCAAGTATTGAAGTTGTCTTCAACAAGAAAATGCATTTAATATCTTCTTTCCTTTATTTTAGATATCATCTTACTAGATTTTGAATATTTGATTTCAAGGTAAAGAATTTCCTTTATCTCTGGCGATTAATCTTGTTAAATTAACAAATAAGGTATCTTCTAGCAGTTATCTTTACAGCTAATTTGACCCATGGACGGGGCACATGAAGCCTAAGACATGCCTATTAACTTTTCTTTTTCCTCTGCTGAAGTGTAACCTATATGTATCGACATTAGTTGTGGAACTGCAAATACAGCTATAGCAAGCATTTTGTTTGCTATTCATATGGTCAAACACAGGATTGCTCTTTGTCTCAGAATTTTCTGCTTCCCAACCCAAAGTTTTGAGACCAACCTTGTATTTGTGATTCTTAAATTAAGTCTAACCATTATACCAAAACTCCGAGGATTATAGTTTTATATTAATTCTAACAATGATAACTTAGTAGAAGCCAGCTACAGAAACTGATGAACTACAAACCTATCTTAAAAACATCTTTAGCTATGTGTCTATGTACTCCACATCTTGATGTCTGGGGTATGATGTCATAAGTGTGTGTGTGTGTGTGTATATATATATATATTGGGGACTGATTGGGAATTGGAATGAGTGGATGGAAATATGAAAACTTACTACAAAGCACAAAATTTGTACTTGGTACCAAGCATACCCATTTCTCTCTCTCTCTCTCTCGTTCTCTCTCTCTCTCTCTATATATATATATATAGAGAGAGAGAGAGAGTAAATATATTCATGCATGCATCCATACATGTATGTATTTACACTAGATTTATGTATAATTTGATTCTAAATTTATATAAAAGCTTACATATCACAACTTATACCCATGAGCAATTTATTAGTGCTTTGGTTAGAACAAGGAGAACTACGACATAAGTTGGAGTCCTAGAGATGATACATTGGCTTCTTTTACAAACTCTACCTTGATATTCGTGGTAGGATTTTGATGCTTCTTGTAGACTCTATGGAAACCAAAGGTTTTGTATAGTGTAGGATCTATGTATCTTTATTCTTCAAATATAGAAGCACAATGGCATACTACAGTGTAGCATAAATGTGGAAGATAATATACATGTTTTGAGCTAATATGAAAAATTTACTGCACTTCTATACGTTTGACAGTCATTAGACTTCCTCAGTGGGCATTATGTTTTCACTATCAACTGAAGACCTGAGTAGATCGTCAGAAGTTCGTCTCAATAATTGATCTGGTTTAGTCATGAGATATAGTACTATCAATCTTGGGCTTGAAATATGCGCATATAGTTTTGATGTTATTGTTTCCCTTTACAAACTTTCTCAAGGTCTATAACATTTTCCTTTCATAGCATTTAATACGGTAGCCTTGCATAAACATTGTTCTTATTGTTTGTGAACATGACTTCATCTTTTTCTGCTAATAGATATACCCTTTAGTTGAACCAACAAAGGTGATCATGACCGCTGGAATTGGGTCATACGAATGGCACGAATTCTTCCCTTACTGTAATGTTTTAACTCTTATATCAAGTTTGACTTCTGTTTTCAACTTTTAATGGACAGTGACTCAACTTCTAAAATAATGCAGTGAAACATAATATGGGTGTAGTTATAACAATATGGGCGCCAATTGTTCTGGTAAATGTTTCTGAAAGATTAACATTATTGCTGTTCTGCCTTTCTATTTTTTCATTTAGATGTTGTTATAACTTCTTTAAAAAAAACAGGTGTATTTCATGGATGCACAGATATGGTATGCCATTTTCTCCACTATCTTTGGAGGCATTCAGGGTGCTTTTAGCCACCTGGGTGAGGTGAGATTATTTCTGTCTATTCCACCTATAATGGCTCTTACAACTTTCTAAAGACCTTGTCCCTTTAACATTTCACTCATCACACTTTTCTAGAATTGATTTATAATGATGGTTCTGGCTCATTAATTTCACCCCGCTTGTTACAGATACGGACTCTCGGAATGTTAAGGTCCAGATTTGAGTCAGTGCCTTCTGCTTTTAGTGAACGCCTTGTACCACCACCCTTGAAGGCAGAATCCAGTAGAAATGAGGTTGCTTTTGTGATGTTCAAAATGCTAATCTAAGTTCACATTTTCTAAATTTCTATAAGGGTAGCGCTTTTGGTTGTAAAATTATATTATTTTATATCACTGAAAGCTCTTCCTAATAATTGTGAAGTACATGAATTCATTTTCTCTAATACACTCATTTTATTTACATCAAATAAGCAGGAAGAGGTGGAAAGAAGGAACATAGCCAAGTTTTCACATGTGTGGAATGGATTCATCAATTCTTTACGACAGGAAGACCTGATAAGCAACAAGTTGAGATTGTTTAATTCTTACTTAACTGAAATAGATGCTAACTTCTAGTATTCTTTGAATGCTCATTGTCTTCTTTATGTGGGCCAGTGAGAAAGATCTGTTACTGGTGCCATATTCTTCAGGTGTATCTGTTGTGCAGTGGCCTCCATTTCTTCTCGCCAGTAAGGTATGAACTGTATAAACGTTAGCTCTTCCTGCATACCATCATGCTTCTCTGCACTGATAGTTCTTTTCATAATAATGTTATGTCATAACTCAATAGATACCCATAGCGCTTGACATGGCTAAAGATTTCAAGAAGGGTGATGCAGAACTATTTAAGAAGATCAAGAATGACAGATACATGTCAGCTGCAGTCACTGAATGTTATGAAACATTGAGAGACATACTTTATAGTCTTTTGGTTGATGAAGCGGACAGACAGTAAGGATATGTCATATGTTGACACTATGTTGTAACCTTGTCCTTGAAGAGGCTCACTGTTACTTGCAGAATGGACAGTTTATTCGTGATTTAAGTATTAACATTGTGTTGTTACATTGATTCCCTTTTTCAGCGTTATTAGGCAGATATGTCATACAGTAGATACGAGCATCCAGCAGCGCAAGTTTCTTAGTAATTTCAAGACTAGTGAATTGCCCCAGCTCAGTAGTAAATTGGAGAGACTACTAACTCTTTTGGTAACTTATTTCTCAGATCGCTTTTTGTTCTGCAGACCTGCTGAAATAGAATGCTTTTGTCACTCTTTAAGATAATCTTATACTCTTGCAGAAAGGTGATCATGAAGATCTTAATTCCTCTAGGACACAAATCATCAATGTATTACAAGATATAATGGAGATCATTCAACAGGATGTGATGACTAGTGGGCATGGGTGAGATATTTCTAAATTCTCCTTCAACCATTCTGTTATGTCATTTGCACTAATTTCTATGCTTTGTTTTTATAGCACATTGGACAAAGCTCAAGCAGACACATACGAGCATGCAAACAAGCATGACAAAACCAAACTCAAATTTGCAAACATAAACCTTGATCTCATGGGAAACAAGTCCTGGATGGAGAAGGTTTATTTATTTATTTACTTTTTGTTCCTTTGTTTCATTTTCCCGCTTGCCATTGCTAACTTTTTTTTTTGAAAAACCTTGTGTAGGTGGTTCGGCTTCATTTGCTCCTGACGGTCAAGGAATCTGCAATAAATGTACCGACGAATTTGGATGCTCGGCGCCGCATTACTTTCTTTGCGAATTCCCTGTTTATGAGAATGCCAACTGCTCCAAAAGTTCGTCAGATGCTTCCTTTCAGGTATGAATTTGAACACTTTTGGTTTCATTTTTACTGAAAAGTTAATAATTGTACTGTCTCTCTGATGTGCTTTCCAGTCATGAAACTTAACTAAGAAATAATCGTTATCAATTTCAATAAACTAAAAATTGGATATTAGCATGAAGTATACACATGCATGTGCACACATACACACACTCACACATAATGATTTAGTTGCTTTGTGTGTAGTTCAAAGGCATTGACCATTAATGGACCTATTTTCACAGTGGCGATTAAATCATTAAGTCTTACTAGTTGAAAACTCAAAAGAGTATATTGTTGATTGAAAGGAACTCCATTTTTAATAAGAGGTTTATTATCTTCTGAGGTGCAATATTGAGTACTTTGCTAATGACATGTTTGGTGGGAAGCGGAGAAAGACCATAATGGATATTTATCTTAATTTGATATTCCTAGATGAAAATGGATTTGAATAGATGGTCAATTGCTTGGTAATGTGATATAGAACGCATAACGAGCAAATTCATAAAGAAGTTGGACCTTCTCAAGTCAAATGAGAATACAGATGAATTATTGACTTGCTAGCAAGGAAATAACCATATCTCCTAATGCGGAAGGCGGATTTAACATATTGTATATAAAATTACCTATTCCATGAGGTGAAGCCATCCAAATTGATAAATTTCTAAAATCACATCAATATCACCAGATTTTGATAGAAATCCGAAGATATAAACTTTTATTTATTTTTAGTAATAACTAATAAAGTTGGAGTCAATATTAGATTAACAAATTTAAATTTGATTAATTATTTGTCTCCTCTATTATAAGGAGTCTTTTTAGGGTAGGATTTGGTGCTTTCTATTTTTTTATAATTCTAATTTTTTTATTAGTAGTCTATTTTATTTTTCTATGTAAGAGGAGACATGTAATCTTAGAATTAATATAAGTTTTCATCAATGAGATTCTTCTTTATTATATTCTCTTCGTGGATTTGAAGTTCTTAGTGGGTTTGAAGATCATTCTTTGTGGATTCAAAGAGCACCTCTTGGTAGATTCCGAGGCTTATTACTTCCGCGCCGTGTTAATTTGTATCAGAGCCTTGTTTTTCCGATCCATTGACAGGCGACGAAGCCCCTATTACCCAAACTCGGATAAAGAGTTGTGTGGACGGACTTGCATTGACAGTGGAGCATTTGAATGAAGGACGAGTTCGAATGAAAGATGAGTTCGAGATCGTGTTGCTGGTCACCACAGACGTGACCAGACTCTGTATGAAGAATTCAATAGCAACATCGATGAGTATGAAGCCCTGCGCCGAAGTCATGGTCGTAGAGACTACTGAAGATGAGATATCTATGATACTAAAAACTAAAATCATGGTTGTAGAGGCTACTCAAGGTGGGGTATCTATGATATTATAAACATGATGGTTGATTTATCATCTTTCAATGGGAAACTCGATATAGATAATTTTTTTGATTGGATTGATAAGCGGGAGAGATTTTTCGAGTATTTAAGAATTACAGAAAATCAGAAGGTTAAACGAGTATCCTACCGACTTAAAGGGTGAAATAGCTTTTTAGTGGCACTCATTGTGCGAGGAACACTCTCATCAGCAGAAGTAAATTTTTTTGATCATGGGTGAAGATGAAAGAATTGTTGAAAGCTCATTTTATTCCTACATATTAGTATGTGTTCAATCTACTCCCGAGTTCACACTTTAATGATGATCATGGAAGGATTGAGCAATCTCAATCTATCTCTAAGCAAGACCTTGAAGTTGTAAATGACATTGAAGAAGAAACAAAGATAGAAGAACCATCTCAAATGAACAATGTCTTCCGCAAAAGATTCACTATGATATAGAAGATTTGTGATGTTGTCATTGACAGTGGCAGTAACAAGAATCTTGTCTCTCAGCAAATGGTGGATATGTTAGGTTTGAAGTCAGTAAAACACCCACTTCTCTACAAGATCGGCTTGATTCGCAAGGGCGATGAGATGCAGGTCGATGAGATGCTGGACGGTGAGATGTGTCGGGTACCTTTTTCCATCAGCCGCAACTATATTGACGAGGTGTTGTGTGATGTGGTTGAGATGAATCCTTATCATATGCTTTTAGGTAGGTCATGACAGTTTAATGTTGGTGCTACCTAGAGGAGAAGAGACCATGCTTATATTTTCAAGAAAGATGGACGTCAAATTGTACTCATACCTCTTGCAGAAAAGGAATCATTCAAGATAGAGACTATTAAGAAGATAAAACTTTTGGTGGTAGATAACGGGGCTTTTACAGAAGACTTGAAGCAATCTGAAGAAGTTTATGCCTTGGTTGTATCTTGAGAAGAACTTGTCCTTAGTAAAATTCCTCCTGAGGTGCAAACCCTCGTTGCAACTGAGGTCATTGATATGATGGTGATTTGTCAGTGAATATGGACACAATACATGAAATTTCTGAAGCTATTGTGAATGATGTAACACCGGCTAATGTTATTCTGATAGAGGAGAATGGTAAAGAAGAAGAGGCGATTGATTATATATGTAACTTGCTTAATGGAGACCCTAGAACAAAGGAGAGAGAGTATGAGGAAAACTTTTGAAACAAAACGTGTCAATGATTTTAACAAGATTGAAAGAAAAACTCATGCATAAGAATATGAAAAGCAACGAGGAAAAGATTTGAGGGAGCTTTTCCATTTATTTATAAATCCACATGCCGTCAGCCATATAAACATGATGTTGGAAAGATTTATATACAAGTTCGATTCAGAAGAAGTCGTAGATGAGGAAACAAAAGAACAATGGGAAAATAGTAAATGTTAAGTACAAGGCGGATGCTAATTGATGCAAGAGAAGAAAAGTGTTTATTGATAAAACTATTATTCAAGCAAATATAAGCTCGGGTCGAGCTGCTTTCAAGAAGAGGACTGATGTAAAACATATAACGAGCAAATTCATGGAGAAGTGGGACCTTCACGAGTCAAATACAGATGCGAATGAATTATTGACTTGCCAGGAAAGAAATAACCATATCTCTTAATTCGGAAGGCGGATTATGACATGTTATATATGAAAATTGCTTATCTCAACGAGTTGAAGCCAATCCAGATTGATAGATTTCTAAAATCACATTAGTATCACCAGATTTTGATAAAAAATCGAAAATATCAGCTTTTATTTTTTCTTTAGTAATAAAGTTGAAGTTTATTTAGATTAGAAAATAAATTTAATTTTGATTCATGATTTATCTCCTCTATTATAGGGAGTCTTTTTAGAATAGGGTTTGATGCTTTCTATTTTTTTTGTAATTCCAGTCTTATTAGGAATCCATTTTATTTTTTAATTTAAGAGGAGACATGAAATATTAGAATTAATATAAATTTTCATCAACAAAAATCTTCTTTATTATATTCTCTCTGTGGATTCAAAGAGCACCACTTGGTGGATTTGGAGATTTTTTTTACTCTTTTCACCGCGTTATAGTGGAAAGTCATAGTGGCAATACAATAATGGTGGAATCTAATGATGGCCACTAGTTTCAAGTGGAGCGGCGAGAGCTCTAGCGGGTGGGAACAAAACCAAAGGCAGAACAAATAGATTGCATATTCAACGAAGGTGAGATTTGTATTTTTTTTGGACTGGAAGAATTGTTGCTTTTGGTTAGCTTACTCCAAAGATGGTTAGGATTGTGCAGTGGACTCTTTGTTATGATGTGTCACTATGGTTTTTTCCGATGGATTCGAAGATGTGGTAAAGTACAAGGCTGACATAGGGTCCTATAAAGATTAGTTTTTGACAGAAAGTAAAAATCCAGACTAAAATGGAGGTAGAAAGACTTCATTTATGGTGCATGCAAGTTACGTGTTGCATGGATTCAACATCAAGGACAAATAGACTCAAATTGCATAAAGGGAGTAAAGTTCTCATGGTAGTTCCTAGGAAGACTGGGCACAAAGAAAGGCTTCAAAGTATTACTTCTTTAAGGACGAATCAAGGTTCTTGATGTCTGAAAAATCGCTTGTGCTTATGTTTGGAAATATTGAGAACAAAGCAAATTGATGTTTGATGTATGAAAAGCCTCCTCTATAGGATTTTGTTACCGCTGATGTTTGAATTATTTAATGATCAACAGCCTAAATTTAAGGTCATGAAGATCCTTTAAAGGGATATATGTATGTATGTATAGATGCATGCATGTAGTGGTGTATCATGTATTTATGCATATAGGTATGGTATGTGCATATGCGTGTGTGCGTATGTACGCATGTACTAGGTATGCAACATGGTTACATGGGTTTTAGGCGAGGTTGGATGCAGATCATGACCCGATGAAATGAAAGGAGAGAGAAGGATGGGTCGGAAGTACTATGTATACCTTTTTTATCAAGGCATGAAAGGTGGCTAGCATGAAGCGGCCGAAGTTTCTCATTAATGGAAGAGTATCGTTGTTATAAGGATTTAAATATGATGAGGTGAATTCTCAATGTTAAGACTTGTATTGAGAAAATAGAGTTAGGCTGCGTTGATTGTCCGTTGTACTCCATGTTATTTTAGTAGTGAAATCTGTCTCAAGCTCCGCATATGGACGGCTTGAGTTTGGCTAAACAACAAATATAATCATGCTTGTATTTTCTTCCACGTTATACTAGAATTTTGTGTATGCTTGACCTTCCATGTAAGGCTTAGGGTTTTTGCTTCCGTTTTGTTCTCATAATCCCAACCACTATCACAACAAAATTAGTAGGATAAGATTAAATTTTGCAATATTATGAGAAGAAAGAAGGTTATATAATTAATGTTGATTGCTAGGGAGTACTTATGTCACGCCCCGAGTCCATGTTCGGGCCCACGAGTCAGTTGGCGCGATGTAAGCTGTGGGATCCACTGAGTGTCACGTTGTTTAGCTCAAACCATTGCCAAAATCGACTAGCCGACGCTACACTTGAGTCTTTAATTTAACTATTTAAACACTCAAATTCTCTTATAACCCACCAATGTGAGGCTATCTTTGGGTCTCACAATCACTTCACCTTACGTATGTGACATTCTCATCGCAACATAACAATTGGCATATCCTAGTATTACCGCCAGACGACGTGGATTTTAGAGGTGGCTCCCACCGTGCTCACGCAGTGTAGCACTTAGCCCCCATAAAGCATATAGCTCTACACTTTCGGTTGGCAAACTGCTTTAATATCATTTTTTCACGTTCTGGACCCGTGAGCCCATTGGTATGATGTAAGCCATGAGGCCTACTGAGTGTAGCTTGTTGTTTGGCTTAAACCACTGTTAAAATCAACTAGCTGATGCACACTTGAGTCTTTAGCTTGGCTACTTAAACACTCAAATTCTCTTACAACCCACCAATGTGGGACTGCTTTGGGGTCTCACAAACTAAGGGTGGTATTTTGTTATTCTAGGTTAGATCATACATTATGAAGTTCACTAGAGGAGGGGTGTAAGTTTGTGCTTTGAACGGTCATACTATGGATTTACTCTTTTTGAAATTCATTTCTTCTTACATTTATTCCCTATTAATTGCATAGTATCATCATTCTTTTTGGCTTTGTGTGGAAATGGATATCTACAAAACTAATTTACATTTGCTTTTTCTGTCTTCTAATTATGGTTCTCTTTTTGTTTCTGGACCATAGTGTTCTGACTCCATATTATAAAGAAGAAGTGCTTTATTCCGAAGAAGAACTTAACAAAGAAAACGAGGACGGTATAACAATTTTGTTTTATCTACAGAAAATATATCCAGGTGATATTCTTGAGGTCTTAACCTCTTGTCCGCACAAGAGTTTTATCATTTCACAAAGTGTAAACTGCATTACATGTTTCTTTCCCATCCTTTAGATGAGTGGAGAAACTTCATGGAACGTGTAAGTCGTCCAAAGGACGAAACCTCAGAGAAGGAAATGATGGATTCAGTCCGCCAATGGGTATCATACAGAGGACAGACGCTTTCCAGAACAGGTAGTAATTATTCTATGTGAACTGTAATTTTCTCTATAAGGATCCATTCCCTGTTATTCACGTTTGGATTCCATTGTTTGCTAGTGAGAGGAATGATGTACTACAGACAGGCCCTTGAGCTGCAATGCTTTCTAGACATGGCAGAGGATCATGGTTAGTTATTTACCGATTGGCTACTCCCACTATGTGTCTTTTCTTTGTTACTATCAGCTACTACCTTTTTGCAAACTATGTGGCACCCTATAAAGCCGTGAGTTTGTTTTCTTTTTTTACATTACTTTACAGCTATCTTAGGTGGCTCCAGAACAATATCTCCAGACAAGAATTATCACGACCAAGTGGCTTATGCTCAACGTTCAGAAGCTATTGCAGATATGAAGTTTACCTATGTGGTTTCATGTCAGATCTATGGAATGCAGAAAAAATCCAGTGTTGCCCATGACAAGAGTTGTTACCAAAATATACTTAACTTGATGTTGCTGTAAGCTACTCACCACTAACAAGAAATTGTGTTGTTTATCTGAAAACCATGCTAATTCATACTTAGCTGTGCTATGTAGGTATCCTTCACTACGTGTTGCCTACATCGATGAGAGGGAAGAGAAAGTGAATGAAAAACCTGAGAAAGCTTATTACTCTGTGCTTGTTAAAGGTGGTGATAAGTTGGATGAGGTACTTATTATTTGGCATTAGTTTTGCATTCAGGACAGTATACTATTAATGCATGTTCATGTATGTGTGCTTTCACCTGCACCTTTGAATCTTGGTCTGAGCATCATTCATTGTATTGTATTTTGGGCGGCCCTAATTTGCTATAATATCTATGAGCGTATTGGAATGTCATGATAACACTCTATGCTCTCTCAGAAAGATCACAGGTTACAACTATTACGTGGATATTTATTAACCAATGGTCAGTTGCTTTTGTACTATACATGCTCCTCTCAAGTAAAAATTCATTTATAAACCAACGCTCTCCTGCTTTTGTGCTATACATGGTCCTCATACATGAGTGAACTATTTGATTCTTTGAACTATAGTGTTTGAGCTATTCTTTTGGATTATGCTAATAGGCTTCCACTCACTAGCTACATATTACATTGCTCGTAGGAAATTTATCGTATTAAGCTCCCTGGAAAACCCACGGATATTGGTGAAGGGAAGCCTGAAAATCAAAATCATGCCATAATTTTCACCAGGGGGGAAGCACTACAGACTATTGACATGAATCAGGTACAATTCATCCTCAGTTGATGGAATGGAAAAAAGATGTACTCAAAAGCATTATATTATTTTTGTAGGATAATTACCTTGAAGAAGCATTCAAAATTAGAAATGTTTTGGGGGAGTTCATAAAGTCTCGTCATCGCCCGCCTACAATATTGGGTCTTCGGGAGCATATTTTCACTGGAAGGTTCTTTTTAGTTTTGCTTTAAGAAAAAGTAGTACTTTCCTTAATGTTGATGGCTATAGTATTCTCTTGATGACTAATTTAAAAAACTCAATGTATTTTCATCACCTGGTATAACTCTCTTTTTTTCTCATACTCACTCTCTTTTTCTTTTCGCCACTTCAGTGTTTCTTCTCTTGCATGGTTCATGTCCAACCAAGAAACCAGTTTTGTGACTATTGGCCAGCGAATTTTAGCAGATCCTCTCAAGTAAGCGATCATTTCTTTCAGATGTAGTTTTATTTTAGTTCTTCTTCTCACTAATGTTTATGAACTTTCTGCTATATATGATTGTTGTCATGTGAAGAGCCAGATCCTTATGCGTGCATGAGTGCATGTGGCCTTCTATTCTAGACGAAGAGGATGTTGTATTTGTTAAATCTGTTATATCTCTTTTTGTGACATGCAAAGATAAAGAACCACAGACAAAGACACATACGCACGCGCACATATACACACACACGCACGCGCACATGCACCCCATACCATGCCATGCCATACGCACACATATACACACGTGCGCGCGCACACACGCACCCCACACCATGTCATGCCACACGCACAAAAAGCGCGCACACAATCAAACTAAAAGTGCTGCAATTTTGGTCAGCAGATTAGAAGCATGAGCAAGTTGTCCTGTTTGGACTAGAGGTAAGTAGACACTAGGGCCATAGAAAAAATTAACCTGTTCAAACTTCAAATAAGAACTTTTTTGTTTTACTGGGGTTAAAGATGCATGTTATTCATGTATGAGAATTATCCATAGACTGCTCAGAACCCAGAAGGGTTCTTGTCATAATCAAATATATGTCTATTTAGTTGAATAAGTCCTAATTTATGAATCATTTCATGTTTTGTTGTAATAGGAAGTAAGTCGGACATCATTGGTCCATTATGAAATTTTTTGGTCATTTTTGGAAACAGAACTGCGTAGAGGCAGTTAAAATGTTAATTTTTGCTTAAGTGCTGAAAGGGGCATAATAATAATAATAATAATAATAATAATAATAATAAATAGATTCTGCTCTATCAATTGGCTATCATCAACGCATCACTGATTATGTTCTTGAGGAGAACTTGGTTCTTCCTGAAGAGAATCCTTCACCACCATTTCCTTTCTGCTGCTGTATACTTGGGCTTCGCTGGCTCCATATATGGCAATTAATGGATTTCAATATACTCTGAAGCTCAATTTCTGTTAAATCTCTCCTAGTAGAGCACTGTCATTTTTGTCCCTTGGTTCTAATAATTCCTTCAGTTATTTCCTACTTTGCCAGCCTTGAGTTCATTGGTACAGTGATATGGTCATAATTTTGAGCCTTTTCACATTAAAAACTGCTTCGAGTTGCTCTTGGTTAATATCATATCTTCGTAGGCTTAATTAAATGGTATGATTTGCTGCACCAGCATTCTAGCATGTGCAAATTCCTGGCAAAAATAGCCACCAATGTGCATGCTTAAACCTGAAGGCTAGTCCTACTTTGAAAAATGGATGAGCGTATCATGAATGGTTAACACTGCTTTATCTCCATCAGCCATTGATGGCGTCACTTTCATCTCAGTACTTTCTGATTGCCAGTCCAACCTCCAGTGGGAGCGTTCTTTCAGATCTCAAATTAAATTGATAACCAGTATGGTCTTTCTCAGCTTCCACTAATTTGGAGTAACTTGGATAAATTACAGGGACAAGTAGCAGTTTCAATGATTTTGGGGACTAACTTAAAAATATGAAAGATTTAAGAACCCAAAGTTATATTCTGAATATTTTATTTCATTCATCTATTGGTTTAAAATGAATGATTGTCTAACATAGGTGTTGGACAAAAGGGACCATTTGATGCGTGGTTAGAAGCTTTCTAAATATGAAATTTTTAATCCTTATTTGTTTCATGAGGTGTAGTTGAATCTAAGTGATGTGGGCTGTGTTCCTGTTTATTTACGTGCGTGAAAATACTTATGTAATATTTATGCATGTATGTGTGCATGTACCATGCTAACCATTATTCCCATACATGTTGCTGGACTTTAATGCTTTTATCAAGCTCTTATTTTCAAATGGAAATATTGGAAATTTTGAAATTACTAAGTAACTTAACCATTCGGCAATTAATTTTTCTGAAATCATACTCCTATAGAGTAGTGCATGACACCTTAGAAAGCTATGTTAATAAGTCCTAGAGCATTTTCAGATAGCTTATTCTTTATTTTGTTATTAAATCACAACTTTTCTTCTCATGTTATCATGTGTTAGTTTAATGTTGACATCTTCTGGATCTAAAGACTCATCTTTTTAGATGTTACATCCTTTCCCTATTTGGTTTAAATATGCAATCAAAATGTTGCCTTTACTGGTATTTTGGTAACTTTTTATTTTTAATATTTTGCAACACTGTGTATGGTGTCATTGGAATGCTCTAATACTGTCATTCATTATACTATCCGGTTCTGGTTTGAATTAGGGCATGGTTAAAATATATCATGGGATATATGACACTTAACATTAATGGGTCCGATACCTTAGGTTAGATATATCTGATATCTGAATGTAGAATTTGGTTTCTAAATCTTAACAGTAAAATGAGCAAGTAGAATATCCAAATCTGATTCTCTTGAATCTTGGTTCTGTATCTACATCCAGATAAGGATATGAATGCCTATCCAGTTTTGATGATCAGTTTACATCCCTGCTTTGAGCTGCTTCAGAGTACAACTTCTGACAGTGACGTGCACATTCCACAACCCCTTCAAAAAAACCACATGCGCGCACGGTCCACCTGGACAGTCACAAACACCTGCAAATCAGCAACTGGTCCACCAGTTTTGAAACATAATAGGGTTACTTTGGATATTTGATTTCATTAAATTCAGCAATGAAATATGTACTTAGTTTTTTTGGTTCTTTTTCTGTGTTTTTTTTTGGTGGTAGAGGTTCAGAGGTAGACCTAAAAGAACTTGGTGGAAGCAATTAAGAACGATGTGATAATAGTAACTGACCCTAAAAATTGCATTGTTGTTATTTATTTGCTTTAAGAAAGCATTTTCTAGTTTTAGTTCTAATTCATGTGCTTTGTAGGGTTCGGTTCCATTATGGTCATCCTGATATATTTGATAGAATCTTTCACCTTACAAGAGGTGGCATAAGCAAAGCTTCAAAAGGAATCAATTTAAGTGAGGATATTTTTGCTGGTACGTTTCATTATATATATATTTTTCATTGTCACCATCCCTAGTAATATAGTATAGCTCTCATTACAGTAGAGCTAGCTTTTCAGGGCTAACAATCCTCTTAAATGTAGGTTACAATTCAACTCTTCGTGGAGGCAATGTTACTCATCATGAATATATACAAGTGGGGAAGGGACGTGATGTTGGAATGAATCAAATTTCACAATTTGAGGCAAAGGTGGCAAATGGAAATGGAGAACAAACACTGTGTCGAGATGTTTACCGGTTGGGACGTAGATTTGACTTTTACAGGATGTTGTCTTTCTATTTCACCACAGTGGGATTCTATTTCAGTAGCATGGTAAGAATATTATATTTTGGTGTTTTTTTTAATTGCAAATCATTGGTGTAGCGCAATCTGCTTCTTTATATGGTCTGTAGAAGGTTTTACAAATTTTTTGAAGCAGAAGGCTTTAGTTCTTACCTAAAAGGTTTAGCTTATGTAAATCTAGCTTTGAGTAGCTCAGCCTTTTGAATAATCTGGAAAGTTTTTGAATAAGTGTAACTGTTAAAATTGATGAATCTATAGTATGGGGTAATATTTCCTGTCCTGTACTGGCCTTACATAATAGAGGCCTGTCTAATAGCCTTCCAATGTGTAGAGTAGGCAAGAGTATATCTGCACCTTTTGGGAGGTTCCTCCTGTCAGAATGCGATTTAAATGCTCAATTGTGCAACAGATTTTATTTGTTACTGGGTGATCGTGTATTGCATAGCCATAGAATTTTCCAAGTGCCAATACTTGAAGAATGACATAAGCAATAAATTGTTTCAGGTTACAGTACTTACAGTGTATGTTTTCTTGTATGGGCGATTATATTTGGTTATGAGTGGTTTGGAGGGCTCCATCCTTGAGAATCCAAGTGTGCAACCAAACATTAAGTCTCTCGAAAGTGCTCTTGCATCCCAATCTGTTTTTCAGCTTGGGTTGTTATTAGTTCTTCCCATGATAATGGAAATTGGCTTGGAGAAGGGATTTCGCACAGCCCTTGGTGAATTTATCATTATGCAACTGCAATTGGCCTCTGTTTTTTTCACATTCCAGCTCGGGACCAAGGCTCATTACTATGGGAGGACGATACTCCATGGGGGATCCAAATATAGAGCCACTGGCCGTGGGTTCGTGGTGTTCCATGCCAAGTTTGCCGAAAACTACAGAATGTATTCTCGCAGTCACTTTGTTAAAGGTTTGGAGATGATGATACTGCTGGTGGTATACCAAGTCTATGGCAGATCATATCGAAGCTCAACTCTTTACCTCTTCGTTACATTCTCAATGTGGTTTTTGGTTGCCTCATGGTTGTTTGCACCGTTTGTGTTCAATCCGTCAGGGTTTGAGTGGCAGAAAACGGTTGATGATTGGACTGATTGGCAAAAGTGGATGGGAAATCGTGGTGGAATTGGGATATCAGTAGATAGGAGCTGGGAATCTTGGTGGGAAAGTGAGCAGGAGCATCTAAAGCACACTAGTATTCGTGCGAGATTGCTGGAGATCATCCTGGCCCTTCGCTTCCTCATCTTTCAGTATGGGATTGTGTACCACCTTAACATTGCCCATCACAGCCGAAGCATTCTGGTATATTTTTGTTTCCATTTCCCTTTTTATTCTACCTTACAGATAAATATAGCTGATAGCTTCTGAGGTCCTGATTTATTGCTCTCTCTCTCTCAGGTTTATGGATTGTCATGGCTGGTCATGTTAATTGTTCTGTTGGTTCTGAAGGTACATGCTTCACTTTGAGCGTAGTTTTAACTGTTTCCATGAACATGAGTAGGTGACATGATTTATTTTCATGTAAACCCCTTGAAAATATGGGGGGAAAGAGAAGAGAAGAAAACAGGAGGGGAAAAACATAAACAACACAGATGTACAGACTGAAACATACATACATGTGCTGGGCTTGCTTATATGTGGGCCTTTTTAGATCATCTAACAATCTTATGAGCTTTTGGACGATATATTGAAGTTAATCACTACTCGGGATGGGTTGTTGAGAAAAGAAAATTGCCTGCCTGTGATAGATTTTCTTCAACGTTCGACCCATTAAGAATTCATAAAACCAACTCTCATAAATTGCATTTCCTCAGAATCTTTGAAGTCTTACATGCCATTCTCTTGTTTTAACAAACTAGTATAGTGAACGTGCGCTGCATGTAGGCTTATTTGTTTTCTATTAGAAGGCGGTAAGTGGCTTGTAGGATGAAGTTTTCAGTGCTTATGTGCATGTAATAGTGCATAAAGTTAAAAGTATAATGAGAAGAATTTGACATTACTATTAATAAGGCCTTTTTCTAGAGACCACCTCGAAAATAGGGTGGAGTTTTTAGTGATTAAACTTGTTTTTGAATTTTTAGTGAAGATTTGATTGGGAGGTGGTTGATTGTGACAAAAACCCAATTAAAAGATGGTTTATGTATAAATTTAAATTAAAAGGCAGTTTCCATGCAATTACGCTATTTTTAAGGGTGATTTATAGGAAAAATTCCTTTTTAATAGTGAAAGATTTTGTATATTTGTTTTTTATAGCTCTATGTGAGAACATATATGAAATTAGTTGTTTTAAGTATTAAAGTATGTTGCAAAGGGCACATTTAAAGTAGAAAATGATGATTTGAACTCTTTGAGTATGAGTTAGTGAATGTTTGTAGCTTTTCACACTTGCTATCTAACACAAGAGTTTGTTCATTCAAATTGAATCCATGAAGCACATGCTACCTTACAACTCTACAATGCCTCTTTTATATATATATATATATATATATATATATATATATATATATATATATATATATATATATATATATATATATATATATATATATAGAGAGAGAGAGAGAGAGAGAGAGAGAGAGAGAGAGAGAGAAATTCTTATGCAACTTAAGTGGGTAGTAAAAAGATGCCCACCATACTTTTTAGGCCACTCATATTGCCTTGGGATGCCATGAAAGATATGAAGAGTTTATATATATTATATATATATATATATATATATATATATATATATATATATATATATAGAGAAGAGAGAGAGAGAGAGAGAGAGAGAGAGAGAAAATATGGGTATGCTTGGTAACCAGCACAAATTTTGTATCTTGGTAGTGAGGTGACACAATCCCCTCCACTCATTCAAATGGAGGACCACATCATATGGGTTGAGGAGTGAATGGGCATATCAACCATTTGAATGAGTGGAGGGGATTATGTCACCTCACTATCAAGCACAACTTTTTGTGTTTGGTAGCCAAGCATACCCATTTTTCTCATATATAATATATATATGATATATGAGAAAATGGGTATATATATATATATGAGAAAATGTATATATTATATATTATATATATATATATATATATATATATATTATATATATATATGAAAGAGAAGAAATAGTGAAATAGAAGAAGAAATGGAAATTTTGACCTATCCCTGAATTCCGAATTATTTATTTTGGGACACAAACATTTAATAAAGGCTTGTAATAGTTTCTTGAAATATTATATTTAGCCCCTAAACTATTATTAACTTAAGCTTTTGCAAGTTATAACTTCTAGAAAACTAATTGTAGCCCCTAGCTTTCAGAAAACTAAATTTAAAGTCTACGGAATGTTGAAATAAACGTACAGATGGTTTAGGGGAAATTCACTTAAAAACCCTTAAATTATATAAAATTCGTTGTTTTAGCCATTAAAGCTTTAAGTTCTCAGGAAGATGGATTATAGAAGATAAAAAAATTTAAGAACAAACAAATTTTAATTAACATACTTGTTCTACCACATTAATCTAGCAGACTAGCACTGTGCATAAATATATAGGGGTTTAAATTATTTTCACTATTGAAAATCAATGAAAAATCTGTGTTTTATTGTTTAATAAAAAATTGTGATTTGTCTTGAAAATTGAGAATATATGAACACAATACAAACAATACAGCGCACTCTGTATTGAACTTAATTAATATTCATTAAAGATGTGTGATCATGAGTATGAAAATACATGTTTTTCTTTTTTGTTATGGTCCCTATTTGTCCTTATAGCATAGAGTTCATGAGAAATATGGTTAATTGGGTATCATTAGTATGAAAATACATGTTTTCCTTTCCTTTATAGTTCCTAATTTGTCCTTATAGCACAGAGTATATGAGAAATGTGGTTAATTGAGAAAAGACCCCTATCGTATCACTCAATTATTGCAGTTCTATTTGTGATGAATATACCCCTATAATATTAGCCCAAGTGTGAATATATCCCTAAATGAACTTTTCGCCTCTTTTTTAAAGTTAAATTAAGAAAAGCAGTTGATGGTCTATCATCACCAATAGAATTATAGGGGTCTACCTATCTCATCAAACATTTTTAATTATTTTAGGAGTCAAACAAAATTTACTCGGGGGTATGTTCGCATAAAAATAAAACATAGTATGTATTCACATTGGGTGATACCAACCAAGGGTGTCTGTTCGCAAAACCCTAAAAAATTCAGTCTGAATGTCAGTGTTGTGGCTTCCTTCACCATATCCTATGCAAGGATCATGTTCCCACCTTCATCAACACATACAAATTAGATACAGCTTATGTCAGTCGTTCAAATACAATAAAACGATGGTGACTACTCTTTGAAATATATCTTCATCTCATACTTTGTATGTGTTACCTCCTTGAAGTACAGCCTTATATACATCATATCACTCTATTAGTCAAGCAAAAAGAAAAAAGAATATAGACAAGTTGAGAGAATGATAAAAGAATTAGTTTATCTCAATAAAATATATAAAATTTTAAAATAAAAATTATTAATTTACCATATTGACTACCTGACCTTGTCGTATTCCTCCGGTTTCGATCTACCAAGAGAACTAAGGTGTTTATATAGAGTACGGTAATTAATCAAAATCCTATAAGAACTTGTGGCTTATGGTATTCTTACATTTAATTAATTAATAGCACGCTACTGTGTAACTGTTTCCTTCAAACGTTGATGCATTGTTACTTCATAATTCGTGCGTTAGGGAAATGAAGCCAAGCATCTGGTATTCATTGCTATATAAGGTGTCGTTTTGTATTAAATATTAACATTTTGGAAGTTCTAGTGCATAATTTACAATATAGTTTGGAAGTTGTCTTTCGCCATTATTGTCATTAAAAAAAGTACCTGCATGCCGAGTATATCTCTGCTAGAAAAAACCAATGAGTTGATGATTTGGGTTATGAAATGAATTTAAAGAGATATAATATAATTTGTGTATATGTACATGTATGGATGTGTATAATTTAAAGGGCTATGATTTATGTGTGCAGATATGTAATTTATGTATGCATGTATGTTTTAATGGGTGCATGTATGGGTTTTGGAGGACGTTTTAGGAAGAAATGTTTTAACATAGCAATCCACTTTTATAATAGTATTAGATTAGATTAGATAATAATGAGGGTCCTTGTCTTTTTTCCACTTCAATACTGTTTAATGCTTGTCAACATTTTGTCTTTCAGATGGTCTCAATGGGAAGGCGAAAGTTTGGTACAGACTTTCAACTCATGTTCCGAATCCTCAAAGTTCTCCTCTTCCTCGGATTTTTGTCAGTGATGACGGTTCTATTTGTAGTCTGCGGTCTCACGGTACCGGATGTCTTTGCCAGCATTCTAGGCTTCATGCCAACTGGCTGGTCTATTCTTCTGGTAAGTGTAGTTATTGACTCTCATAAAGTATCAAGTGGATCCTATCCGTACGTGCACCAAGTATTGGCTATTCTTAAACTAGCCCAATACGAGAGGACTTAAAGATGGGCCTATTGATTCAAGTGTTGCGGATAGACTCCCAGAGTATCCCCCTCTAGTTCTTATTTTGTAGACATACCTCCTGAGTGAAACCTTTTTTGGATTCTTTTACACCCAGAAAAAGAGTACATTGTTTTTTTCTTTTTTCTTCTTTTTTTGGACATATATATCTCCCGAGAGTGGAAAGAGTAAAAAAGAATTCACTTAGGGGGTCTATCCGCAATTAACCTTGATTACAGTGCATCATAAAGAAGTTGACCAATGACCGCTAGACATCTAATACTTGATAAATCCTCGATTATCCTTTTTTATTAGATTGGACAAGCGACGAAACCACTTGTTAAGAGGGTGGGCTTCTGGGACTCGATAAGAGAACTGGGAAGGGCCTATGAGTATGTGATGGGCCTCGTACTCTTTGCACCGATTGCCGTGTTGGCTTGGTTCCCCTTTGTTTCGGAGTTCCAGACGAGGTTGCTCTTCAACCAGGCGTTCAGTCGAGGACTGCAGATCTCAAGGATTCTTGCAGGGAGGAAAGATAGCAACACGTATTAATGTTTCCTCCCTAAGACGCTTGATGCATGTTTTCTTCTTCTTTTTTTCCTTCTTTTTGCGCTGGTGATGTCTATTATTATTTTTACTAAACGAAACATAATGCTTCATCTTCACAGTACTCTCTCGTATGCGAAGTGTTGAAAGCTTGTCAAAAAAACTCCAAATTCATACTGGTAACATGTTAAATGAAATTTAGGCATGTCAGGGTGGTAACAATCTATGGTATGAAACTGAGATTATACCTTGTGCTACATCAGATATTGAAGGATCAGCCGTTGGATTTCTTCGCATTGTTCTGAAGTTTACTCTTTCGAATACTAAGCTTTAAGAGGAGGTTTAATATATACTAGTAAGATGAAAATGTATTTTAATATAGATCAATGACGTGCCGCGGAACTATTTGTCAGGTTCAGAATCATACTAGTATTGTAAATTAAAATGTAATAAAACTGAAAATTATATTTTTACGAAGCCCGATTATTTACAGACTCTGTTCAGGCAAAAACAAGAAGACTCGTCTTCCTTGAGACAAAAGAAGGGAATAATATGCACTTTAGTAAAGAGGTCAAATGGTACATATTCATTATTTAAATAAAAAGAATAACCTCAAACCTGATTTGTCTAGACACTAATTTCCACATGCTCAATGAAGAGTCCAATTCTACACAACAGAGATCAATACCCATGGTCCTCAGTGATGACCTGAATCCTATCAGAGCGCCCCATCACGTGGAGTGTTCTTATAGCTCAAAGGGTGCAGTGAAATACCATCACTGTCCCCCTCATTCCCAATCGCACGGCTCAGAACACCCAGCACCAAGCAGGCGGCTCTGAGAGAATCCTCCAGTATTATCCGATCGTACTGCTAAGTGTCAATCTAGAGATGTTAAATGGGTGAGTATGGGTATTAAACAGGCGGGCGGGCCATAAATGGGCGGGCATGTTTTGCCCATTTACCCATTTATGGCTCATTTAACATTATTTAAATGGACGGGTTTTTACCCGCCCATTTAATAAACGGGTCGCTCATTTGCCCATTTAACTATAGTAACTATATATGTATAATACTTTTGGGGTGTTTTTTGTAAACTTTTAGATTTGCCCATTTAACTATAGTAACTATATATGTATAATACTTTTGGGGTGTTTTTTGTAAACTTTTAGGAGTTTTTTTAAAATATTGTGGGCTTTTTGCAAATTTTTTGGGAGCTTTTTGCAAACTTGTTGGGGATTTTGATAATTTACTAACAAAAATATGAACATAAACAAAGATAAACAAAGACTGACAAGTTCATGATTGAACCATTTACAAGTCTGGATAAAAGTACAGACCTCACACATTTGCAAAATTAACCTCAAATTTCTAAACCAAAAGATCAATAACAACAAAATTGCGAGTATATTTAAATGAATTAAGATAGAAAACACAAGGTATGTAAGGATCTGTATAAGATCAATAACTTGATATAAATGCCATCATAACTATCAGCAACACGATCACGATTAGTAAGGACAATCTACTTAATTACTTGATAAACTAGAAGAGTAGTAAGTTTGTCTATAAACAAAATAGTAGCACAACCATAGTCCACTTATTTCCCATCTTTCAAATGTTCAGGCATGAACAGGATCATGACAGAAGAAAGAAAAGACCATGAAACAAACATAACACTCAGTTGTACTCAATAGCAACATTAAAAGTACTGCAACAAGCCTCATATGTGCGTCTTCATAGCAAGGGTTAGAATCTGAAACCACCATAGAGACCTCAATATTTCTCCTGCATCAATCATCCATAGAATTAGTTAAGTTTGTCACAAACGTATGATATTGTCATAATAATGAAACACTAGATAGCAAGATGCGATCTTTGGGAACCAGGGGACTAAAGATTAGCTAAATACACAAAGAACTTATCAGATACGTAATCATATAACAAAATTATGGTTTTACGAGAACAGGAAACAGGATAGTAAATACAGGAACCAGAGCCAAGAGACCTGCATGCATTGTTAATATGCTTGAACTTTGAGCAAAAGGCATGTGACACTCAGTTCAAGTAGTTTGAAAATCTAACAGCAAAAGGATTATATGACTTAATACAGCATAAAATAAGGCCGAACCTCGGTTGCCAAGTTCACCATCCAGTGATTCCTCTCAATGCCTCCATGACAAGCTCCCTCGCACACCTTTCGGGGTCGCAGACCCCGCCGGACCACATTTACCGCGTGCTGGCCCGACATAACGTCACAAATACCATCGCATCCAATGATGAAGAATTCGTCATCCTCTGTGATGAGAGCTTGCCTGAACTCAGGCTCCGCGATGAGTGGAGAGGGCAAACCGGTAGCTGAGGTTGGGATCTTCATGTCCCAATTGCCTAGAGCTCGAGTTACAGATTGGACTCCATTTAGGTACCAATCATCAATGTAGCCGCCAGGTTTTTCGACCCTCAGACGCTCTGCAGCATGGACTGAGCCACGGTGGTCATGAGACATGTTGATGACTTTACCTCCGCGGCAGATGACCGCTCTGCAGTCACCAACATTGGCTACCAAGAGAACCCTGATTGTTAAGAAAGAAACAAGATCAGAGAAACGGTAATGGATTGTATTATTAGGATTGTGATAGGAGTTTGATTTGCACACGGGCTTGCACATGCTATCGTATATACTGGAATATTCAGGATCTGAAGTGTTTACGTACTTTCTCAAATTATGAAAACAAAGATTCAAAAACAAAGAAAGGAACCATATATACTCATAGTTTGACATCCTTAATGATGCATAATCAAGCTAAGAACACTACCACGTAAATCAAATCACAATCATGACCAGATTCAACAATTCTCAAGATATCCTTTATTTCCTGGAATAAATTCAGTCCCATTCGGTTTACAAACATGCTGAAATAAATCAAGACCATCAAACCAATTGTTCAGAAAAAGTGCAAAAGGTTCACTAACATAATATTTCAATCAAACTGAGAATCAGCTACATATAGGAAACCACTAGGACAATAAGAATGATGGAAGAAGATTGCTATGGAATGAAGTACCTTCCGAGCACCAATGCAATAGGTGCCGTACTCCCACAGGAGCTGATCACTGTGCATTCATCAGCCAGAGCAAGGTCTACTTGCAGAAATGATCTCCGAATAGAGTTTTTGATCTCAAGTAGGAATATAGGGTCATATTTGGATGCTTGAGGGAGTGTGGATTCTTCAAAGAAAAACCTGAGGGCATGCCTCCTGATGTATGATGCTGCATCAGAACAACTATGGCCATCAAATACCTGCAAAGATTAAAAAATATCAGAAACGGCAAAGTGCAATACGCAGCAACTGGATAATTAGCAATTTTGTAATTCTTTAACGACAGCAAGAACTTACCCCATAAAAGAAGAAGGTATGCAACACCTACACTGAGACTTGATGAATAGAAAAAGATCATCAATACAGATATGCTCATATTCCATATCCCTCCTCATCCCGATGTCACTGAAGCTACCAGAACAGAGGCTGGGAACGAATTCAAGAATTTCCGGTGAAATAGGAGTTTCAGGAATAGCAGCTGGAGCCCTCAGATTCTGAATAGGAAAGAACCAAGAAAAGTCGAGATTAAGTGTTTAAAACATTCTCCTCTAGATAGATCTAAAAGTAGCAGGTTTAATATTTTTAACGGAAAAGATGAAGCAGATTAAGTTGGCAAAAAAAAAAGATCTAAAAGTAGCAGGTTTAATATTTTTAACGGAAAAGATGAAGCAGATTAAGTTGGCAAAAAAAAAAAAAAAACGTTTCACGATTCCATCTAGTACCCCAAATGCATTTGTCAACTCCGATACTCCCTCTTTATTCCAATCCTCAATTCCTAGTTTATAGAATTTTAGTTTCTTGGTCTACAAAAATTAACTAATAATGAAACTTCAACCAGTCATGCTCTTTTTATTTCTGTTATTCAAAAAATGTCATTAAGCCTGAGTCAAATCGTTTTTCACATCCATGTTGTTGCACTTTATGTTCTATACTCCTACTAGCTCCTAGAATGTGTAATCGATGCCAACGTTTTATAAAAAGCTTCCACCTAGGCCTAGGTGATGTAGGCCCCTAGGCTCTGCGTCTTGAGAGCGCCTAGCGGCTCTAGCACCGCTTATGCGAACTGCACCGCTAGGTCTTAGTCGTGACTGCCTTCACATCCTCTAACCTCCTCCGAACTCCTCTGGCCTCCTCCACCAACTATGAGCACCTCCTCCAACTCCTCCAACCTTTAGCAAAACTTTCTCTTTCACCACTTAAACAAAAAAATAAATCCTCCTAGACCTAGTGCCTAGGCATTTGGTGCAGTTTGGCACGTAGCGATGCCTAGCACTTTTGACAATATTGATTGTAATTTAAAAAAAATGCCTAGGCCCCGCCTATGCTCTAGGTGCCGGGTCAGGCGCGTAGCCCGCCTAGAGCTTTCTGTAACATTGATTGACGCAATTAACCTTTTTAAGGTGGGCATTTAGTGGGAAGCGGTTCAAAGACTCGAATTGCCCCTTGTATGGTTTGGCAAGCGGGATATTCCGACAAGGTTTATGTTCCTCAATATTATTAACATCTGTCCTATGCAATCTTGAAACTACTTGCGAAATGATACCGGAGACTATTTAACACTTTGCCACATGCCTTGGGCCTCTTGTCGTGCGCATGCAACTAGTATTTTCGCAGGAGACATTTCTATGTTTGGGAGGTATCATAAAAAAAGTCGAGGGAATTTGTTTGGGTTTACAAGTTGGCGTACAAGATGGATCCTGCAAAAAGACTCGGAAGAGATGACCCAACCTTAACAAGATCACTATGCACATAAATATGTTAGATTCATCTTGTACTAATTTTCACTCTTTTCTATTAATGATGCCCGGTATGAATAACCTCTTAGTCAAAAACAATTATAAAAGAAAAAGAAAAGTTTTTATCCTCAAGATTCCATCCATTACCTCAAAAAGGAAAAAAACATAGTCTCATCATAAACTAAACAAGCACTAGATAAAGAAAATTACAATCAAGATCCAAGAACCTCACCAGCTCCACCGCAACCGCTCCAGATTCCATCGCCACCGACGGAACCACCGCCGAACAAGCCGCGTCGACGGCCACAGTCAAGCTCTGACGGATAATCTCAGCTCCCGCCACCATTCTAAACCAACTCGAAGTCTACAAATTCGTGGGTCAATCGAATCCCGCGGAAGACGGAGAGTTAACGGCCGAAAAA